GCTGCACTCTTTCTTTGATTTTTTTTTAAAGCATTTTTAATAATATAAATAAGACCTGATTCAGTTTGTCTTATAAAAAGTTAAAATATTACAGGTAAAGTCCTTCTCAACCACAATTCCCAACCCAGGTCTGGTCCCTGGTTCCCCAGAAGAAATCAGTTTGAGATATACCTTTGCAGACTTTATTCTATGCATACATGGCCGGGCCGGTGTGGTTCAGTAGTTGTGTGTTGACCCATGCACCAAGAGGTCGCCGGTTCGATTCCTGGTCAGGGGCACATGCCCAGGTTGTGGGCCTGATCCCCAGTGTGGGGCGTGCAGGAGGTGGTCAATTGCTATTCTCTCTCATTGATGTTTCTATCTCTCTCTCCCTCTCCCTTCCTCTCTCTAAAATCAATAAAGAAAAAAATAAAATTAAAATGCATGCATGACTAAGTATTTGCAGAACATACACTTTTAAAAAATCAAGAAGCATCTCTAATCCGTTTGCTGAAAAAATTTTATTGGGAGAAGGCCGTGGAGTGTAGCCGCAGCTGCTTCTGAATGTAGAGTAATGAAATCCAATCTCCAGTCCAGATGTGCGGAGCCAGAGGCTGGTACATGGTGCCCCAGTAGCCTGCGCCGGCCTGGGTCAGGTCAGCACTTGCACTTGGGTTGCAATGTGATGTGAGAGACACGGTTTTGTGGGAAAATTCTCAATGACAGCTGAGCTGACCATTATGACCTCAAAGAGACGTGGTGAATTCAAAGAGAAGGGAGGACTCTAAGTACATCCGCGCAGGCATGGGGGGGGGGGGGGGACAAGAAAGTTTAAGTAGAAGGTGGAAGATAGAAGTGAAAGCTTTCTTGAGCCAAGAGAAAGAAAGTGACCCAACCACTTCTGTAGATGCCTTTCGGGAAGGCGATGTTCTGGACAGCAACTTAACTTGAGCAAAAGGCTATTGTAACTGAATTTTAAAATCTAAAACTCTTTTTTATGTTTAAATCTTTTTAAAGGAAACTTACGTAAAAATGACATTGTGTAATCGTACTTTGAGCGTATGAACATTTAGACGCATCATGTATATGGACAGAAACCCAAATATTAGTCATTTTTTGTAATAGACTGTACTTTTTTATTTTATTTTTTAGACTACTTTTTTATATATCATGTTCTTATGATGAAATTTCAGGAACGTGGATTAAATTCAAACTCAAAACTTATTTTTTCTATTTATTCTTCCTTAGACCATAGTGAGCATTAGGAATGAACTGTGGAGGACTCATGAGTACATTGATGCTCTCCACAAGGAACGAAGGTAGGAACCACACACGTGTACAAATACTGATGGACACAACTCAATAGCATTTCTTCTTGCTTTTATTAAAAATGTTTCTACAAAGATTTTCCCATGATTTGTTTTGTTTTTGTTTTTTAATTAAAAAGGCATTTCTTAAACAGAAAAATTCTATGATTTCAGTATGAAGGTAAAAGGAGGGCTTTGTCTCTATTTGAGTAGTTAAGCATAACAAAAATCAACTGGCTAATTAAATTAAGTTTTGAGTTGTGATTGCATTCCTTGAAAATTGGTTAAGCATTTTCAGAAAAGTGTGATTCTGTGTATGTCTTGTGTGTGTGTTTCCCCTGCTTCTAAAGAAGTCAGTACACTCCCTCCAGCAGCATCTAACTTTCTACCAGGTTTACTACATTTGCTGGAAACTGTCTACCTTCTTATTGTGTCTCAGGGGCTAATTATTCCTTAAATTCCTGCTGTCGTTCCTATAGAAGACAGAATTCCTGATCCTCAGTAGGAAGTTCCCCCTGAGGGAAGACTTATTTTTAGGCACAATGTTTGGTATTTAGTAGATACTCAATATATTGCTAATTATGCATGTATATGAAGAGATGTGCTTCATAATATACATGTATGAAAGATAAAGGACATTTAAAAAAATCTGTGATATCTCATGAACAGCAGCTTAATAACACTTTCAAAGTAGTTTAATGATTCAAATGTTAAAAGCAATTTTAATCTTTTCTGTGGTATAAGAAAGAGGAATTAGAAATAAAATTAAGGAAAGTAGTATAGCAATAAAAAGGCAACTTTGAAATTTAAAATGTAGAAAAAGAAAGAAAAATTTTAAATTTAATTCTTTAAAACTTAATTCTTAAAACAATTATTTCAAACTATTTTAAACTAGGTTATTGCCTTTTATATAATTAATACCCCACTAAATATATCATTGGTCTCTAGCAAGGTATTTATCAGCATAAAGTATACCAAAGTGTGAGGCTGACTGATGAATAAATCTGTGTGAAGGTTTTATCCATGTTTCTGTCTGCATTATTATTTTTACCAATAAATTGGATAAAATAGTTGAGGGCACGCCTCTCAATTGTGTGTGACAGTGATACCAAATGGCATAGACAATAGTGGAATGACAATCTCAGCTCATTAAGATGTGGCAGTCTGGAACATTGGGGCAATTAATAATGACCAAATTTTAAGGAATTAAAAGCAAGTCCTACAATTAGAGGGCCGGGTTCAGAACAAATAGTGCGCAAAAGACCTGAGATATATAGTTAACTGTAAGTTCAATAACAGCCAACATTGTGTCACTGATCATTTAAAAGGCAACTCAGACAACATTAAAAGAAAGAGTATCAGCCCTGGCCGGTTTGGCTCGGTGGTTAGAACATTGGCTCAGTGGTTAGAACATCGGCCTGCGGACCAGAGAGTCCCGGGTTCGGTTCCCGCTAAGGGCACGTACCTTGGTTGCAATTTGTCCCGGGCCCCGTTGGGGTCGTGTGGGTGGCAACCAGTCAATGTGTCTCTCTCACATCAATGTTTCTCTCTCTCTCTTCCCCCCTCTCTCCCTCCTGCTCTATCTAAAGATAAATGCAAAAATGTCCTGGGGTGAAGATAAAAAAAAAAAAAAAAAAGAATCATTCAATCATTAGTTACCTATTTATTACTCTGTCCTCTGCTAAGTGCTGATCAAGGAAAGAAATGTTTCACTGCTCCGTGCATGAGTCGCTGGGCTTGGCAGTGTTTGTGTTCTATTCGAAGGCCCATCACATGAGACGTTCAAGCTCTTTAACTCGAGAAAACAGAACTACAGATAAAAATTTTTAAAGTTTAGAAAGGCAGAGTTTAAATCATTTGAAAGGAATTATTTCTCAAATAGTCTGAATTGTTTGTTAACCGTGAATATTTGCCTGGAATGTACTGGGTTCCCAGTTGCTGGTTACAGGTAAATTATTCACCAAAAACTCTACAAGAGAATTTACCCTTAAAAAAACAAAATGAAGTAAGAAAAGAACTATACTTCAGATCGGGCTTTGCCAACTTGCACCTGGACTGTGGAAGGAAGGGGTGCCTGTCTTCCATCTGTGTGTGGAGGATGGTCCAGAGAGGAGGAGGGGACAGGAGCAGGGACAACATGGGAGAAAGAGAAACTGTATCACTTGTGGTCATAACAAGCACAACACTTTAAGTACAGAAAACACTGTTAGAGAGGCCTTTTGAGAATGTTGAATTGGCTGCAATATCAAATCTCTAGGTCGACTCCTTCCTGAAAAACCCATCTTAAAGATATATTTGAAACTTCAATTATGATACAGGATTTTAGAACCGGACTCCCTTTTCTCCTGAGCATGACTGCCCAGAAGGTTGAAGGCTAGCCTTAGAAATGCTTGTTTCTGGTGAAACTCCAAGACCTCTCCAAGATCTAGAGCAAGCAGAAATTTCAAAGGCTCTAACACTGAAAAATGTTGCGTTTCCCACCAGAGAGCCCATTTCTCCAAATTTAATAAATATGCCAACAGCACTGATCAAAGAATGAGATTCTACTTTAGAAAGACACTTTTAATTGTGCACGTACTCTAACAGGGACTATTTCAGGCCTCGGTCTGAGAATATTGCAACAAGCAAAGTAGAAAAAAATAGATGGCCAGAATAAAGAGAGAATAAGAGTTATTAAGAAGTAAAGAAAACCATATATAAGTAAAATAACAAGTAAAACAGTTTGCGTGTCATGTCATGTGACTGTCCAGAAGTTTGAAGACTAAATCAAAATCTAAGATGTACTCACACTCTGTAGCAATCACAAAAGGCCATAAGGACACATAAAGTAGGGAAGGGGATGGGAGGGGCTGGAGCAGAGGTTGGGGGCTCTGATTTGTAATTTTAAGTGGGGTAGTCAGAATGGCCTCTCTAAAAACATGGTGGTGAGCAAAGATTTTAAGAGAAGAGAGTGGGCCCAGCAAGAGCCTGAGGGAAAGAAGTTTCCAGACAGAGGGGCCAGAAGAGCAGACTCTGGGGGGAGAACACGCAGTGTGTTCTCAGAGTTACCAAGAGCCTGGTACAGGGCAGGGAGTGAGCGGAGAAAGCAGAGAGGGACTCAAAAGGGGAAAGAGGGTCTTGACCATCCTGTCGGCTATGTCCACCTCTGCCAGGACTTCGGCTCATTCTAAATAAGAGGGGAACCACTGGAGGTTTTTGAGCATAAGAGTGACATGATCTGCCTTAAGAATTACGCTGCCTACTTGGTTCCTCCTTAAACCGATGAACAACTAGACTTAGGAAGAGAAGCCGAAACAGACATATGATTCATGGATTGCATTGCATCATTGCCTCCTCCCTGTGGTCTCGGTCACGTGTTAGGTGTTTAGCCATGACATGTATCCTGTCCTACATGGAGTATTTCTAGACCAAATGATAATGAATAAAGTCAGTGTTAAATATTTGAGTATCTGATGAAGGCGTGATGATTTTCTATGACCTCTCAAAGCCAATGAAATTCTTAGTGGAATCGTGTACATAATAGACCCAAGGGCAGCTGTACATGGTGAACAAACAGTTAAAACAGTATTGATCAATGTCAGGTAATAGTCAAGGCACAGGCCTCCCGACATTGTCTCCCACGAAGGGGACCTGGAGTACATCTCCCTACTCACGCCTGGACTTAGTCCGCTAGCCTCTTGCCCCTTCAACCTACTCAGACTTGTATTTTTCCAGGTTCCTTAAAAAGCAGTTAAACCGATACAAAGACAAGTTGCAAGCCATGCACACCTCCCAGGAAGAAAAAAGTTGCAGATTTGAAACAAAGATTCACGAACTTACAGCCAACCAAAACAGTCTGTGGACCAAGCTACAGCAAATGGGACAGGATTTACAGGTATCAAATGTGAGAAACCCTGGCCATCTGGACCATCTGACAGTCTGACCTCGAATCCTCTGGTCAAGGCAGGGCTGCAGCCTGAAGCTTTGCATCTCACTTTAATCAGCCTCCTCCCTTTCCCTCTTCTCTCATACCCTGACCAACTCCAGCTTTTATCCTCCAGACTGTATCCTCCCCCTTTGTGAAGGTAGTGCCATTGGGAGGGAAGAGTATTCACACCATTTAGAAACAATAGCCCAGGGGCAAAGTGGTTCTTTACAGCTTTCATTCTTAAACCTTTTGGTCTCATAATCCTTTTACCTTCTTAAAAGGTTTTAGGATTCCTGAGGAGATTTTGGGGGTTATATCTATCACTATTTACCATATTCAAAATCAAAACTGAGCCCTGGAGGCCCTGGCTGAGTAGCTCAGTTGATTAGAGCATCGTCCAGATTCGCCAAGGCTGCAGGTTTGATCTCTCATCAGGACACACACAAGAGGCAACCAATGAATGTACAAATAAGTAGAACAACAAATCAATGTTTCTCTCTCTGTCTCTCTCCGTCTCTTTCTTCCTTCCTTCCTCTCTCTCTAAAATCAATAAATTTTAAAAATTAAAAAGAAAACTGAGCCATAGATTAAAAATAAATGTATTAACTAATTTAATAATGAAAATAATAGCCCAGCCGGTGGCTCAGTTGGTTGGAGCATTATCCCATACACCAAAAAGATTGTGGGTTCAATTCCTGATGAGGGCACATATTTAGGTTTTGGGTGTGATCCCCAGTCAGGGCATATATGGGAGGCAAGCAATCGAGGTCTCTCTCTCTCTCTCTTTCTCTCTCTCTCTCTCTCTCTCTCTCTCTCTCTCTTTCCCTCCCTCCCTCTAAAATCAATAATCATATCTTTGGGTGAGGATTAAAATAAAATAAAATAAAATAAAAATGAAAAGAATAAATCTATTATATATGTAACAATTTTAAACAGTAACTACATATTTTTTTAAAAACTTAGAAGAGTGGCATCATTTTATAATTTGTATAGATCTCTTTATTATCTGGCTTAACAAAAGATAGCTGGACTTTCATGACTGCTTCAGCATTCAATCTGTTGCAAGATGTTTTGGTTGAACTATATTAATAAATCTGGCTCCACACAAACTTGCAGTTAAAAAAGAGAGTGTTTTAACAAACTTTTCAGATAATTAGAGATCTTTGATACTGCACCAAAACATGATACTATTTCTTAAAGGATAGTTGCAATATTGAATCTGAAACCATATCTATTTTAAACTCCACTCCACTAAAATAAAATGTTCTCTTGTGCTCTTTGAATGAATCTTCTACCCACGCGTGATTCTGTAGCATCACACATTGATCATTTGGAAGTTCACGGAGCTATGCTGAACTTCCTTATACTCACCCATTTCATTATACAAGGCAAAAAAAAAATCATATTAATTAATATCACCACTAATCTCATCAGAAAAGTCTTTAAGAATTGGAAAACTGCCCTGGCCAGTTTGGCTCAGCGGTTGGAGCGTCGGCCTGCAGTCCAGAGAGACCTGGGTTCAGTTCCCACTAAGGGCATGTACCTCGGTTGCAGTTTGTCCCCAGCCCTGGTTGGGTCACGTGGGTGGCAACCACTCGATGTGTCCCTTTCATGTCGATGTTTCTCTCTCTCTCTCTCCTTCCCACTCTATCTGAACAAAAAATGGGAAAATGTCCTCAGATGAGGATAAAAAAAAAATTGGAAAACTAGCCAGCTCATGGAGATAGATGCAAGTTTTCCAAAATTCTAATTTTTGCTTAAAAGCTCATCTGTTATAATTGTCAACTGTTTTCCTTACTATGACAGTCACATTTCATTCATCTTTGAGGTGTTTGCCAAATACCCAAGTCTGAATAGCATCGTCTGTAAGTAATTCTTCCACACAAGAGGCATTTTTTGTACTTCAGGAAATGTCAGAAGTGTTTTATGCATACTTCCCATTTCTTCACAGACAATATTAAGACGATGTGTTGTTATTAAGAAAATTAAAAATTTTTGCTACGCCATCAAGGATATTCTTAAATAGAACTGGCTTTTTTTTTTTTTAACCGCAGGTGCATGGTGACAAATAGCATGACGACTAACACTGTTTGGTAACACTGCCTTGATTTGTGGTACTGATAGCTTTACCTACTCTTGATTTTGCACCTTCATTGCAAATATCAACACAATGACCAGGCAAATAACATCTAAGTATCATTGTGCAAATAATTTCGACCTCGTGGCCTTCTAAAAGGTTCTCAAAAACCTCCAGGAGTCTGTGGCCCCCACTTGGAGAACAGTGCTTGTAGGGAACACATCCCCTAAATTTTGTACCTATGGATTATCATGAAACCCCGCACAACATACCTCCCTAGATGGGTCATGAACATGTTTTATAATAAGACTTTTTAACCTATCAACTCAATATAGGCTGATGTTTTCAGAAATTTCTTATTATGTTTTTAGAATCTGAGCTTCTAGAACTTAGAATTTTTCAAATTTCTTGTGATTATTTTCTGTGATATTTTAATAACTGGGCTTTTTTAACTTTTGTAGACAGTTTTAGGTTGATATTGAATTAACAGCATAAAATAAAATTAATGTATTTACAGAGCAGAAAAAAAAATCTTGCATTAAAATTTCCTATTGGAATATTAAAATTTAATGTATTTACTTTAAAAAGTAAGATAAGCCCTGGCTGGTTTGGCTCAGCAGTTAGAGTGTCAGCCCGCAATCCAGAGAGACCTGGGTTTGGTTCCCACTAAGGGCATGTATCTTGGTTGTAGTTTGTCCCCGACCGCGGTTAAGGTTGTGTGGGTGGCAACCAGTCGATGTGTCTCTCTCACATCGATGTTTCTCTCTCCCTCTTCCTCCCTCTCTCCCTCCTGCTCTATTAAAAAAAAAAAAGTAAGATAAATATAAATTTCTTCATAAAGATTTTTCCCACCAGGTAATGTTGCAGCCACTCCATTCATCTTCTTCCTGTCAGAATATGATTTCCAACAGTGACCATGGAAAGGCTGAAAGGTTTTGGAAGGAAGAAGATTCTTCCCAGAACAAAAATGCCTATGTCAATGGTCCAGAATGGGAATCTCTTCCTAACCCCACTGTGATTGACAAAAGTCAGCGAAGTGAAGCAAAAGCAGAGCACGCTCTACCAAATTCAGGATCTGCGGAGGGCATTTTGCAGCCAAGGTCAACGCAAAGCCCCAAGGCACAAAACCAAGTACAAGCAATCTCCAAGCAAATCTTTAGCTCCCCAACCAGTTCTCAGGAAGGACTGCTGCAGGACGTCCCCCAGACTGCTCCCACTGAAATAAACAGTCCTACTCTGGCATCCATGGAAAGGAAAGAGAGAGTTAACACCCAAGAGGAAAAGGATGAGCTAGAAGAAGAGGAACTGCAAGAATTATTATCAAAACTTATGGATACCTTCACTCTAGAAATGCCATCAGGTAAGGTTTTCACCATCAATAGAGATAGTGATGGCCTTTTAAAATGCCTTTTAAAACACTTTATTTTATAACATTAGTTCAATAGCTACAATTCACCTTGTAAGCACAATTCATCACCAGTCAGAGTAGTGAATCTTTTGCATATCAGTAACATCTCTGAACTTGATTTCTAGTATTACCTAATTCATAGGGTTTTGTGAGCATGAAAGATGATTAACCATATGAGATTTTAATGTAGCACCTGGCACATACCAAGAGTTCAATAAATTCTTATTAGTTTCTTATTGCAATTATTGTTATCTATAGTATTAAAACATATAACTGGGCAGCCTAATGTTACCATTTTAAAATAGAGATAAGAATTATGCTCTCTTTCTAGAGGACAATTGGTTAAATTTTCTATATTGTAAGTAGCACCATCATTATCATCATCATATTCTTCATAAACTATGACTCATTGCTAAATTCTGAAGGCTCTTTTTTTCTCATCCTTCTTTGCTATAGTAATTTATTCTGTTTTGCCATGACATTGTCTTTTTTAATAGAGTGTTTTGTTATCATAACATACTAATATCTATAACAATATCTATTTCTTTTTAAGAAAACCTAAAATCTTTTATGTTGTAGTAATCATCCAGAAACTTGGGATAAAACAAAGAATAACATTCTCATGTGTTTTGGCATCAGGGGAGGTCTTCTCAAAATATTGGAGTTGATATATTAGTTTGCTAGAGCTGCCATAACAAAGTACCACAGACTGACTGGGTGACTTAAGCTAAATAAATAAATAAATAAATAAATAAATAAATAAATAAATTTTGCGCACACGTTTTCTAAGAGTCTTGGAGGCTCAAAGGCTGAGGTACGGTGTCAGCAGCGCTGGTGTCTGCTGAGGCCTCCCCTAGCTGGTGGGTGGCTCTTCTCTTGCTTGCTCATCACTCTCCCTCTGTGCATGTCCCTGTCCGAATCTCCAGTTCTTACAAGGACACTCCAGGGTGGTTTCGGAACTACTCATGTAACTTCATTTCGACTTAATTTACTCTTTAAAGACTGTCTCCAAATAGAGTCACATTTTTAGGTACTTGGGTCTATAACTTAAACTTATGAATTTGGAGAGGAAGACACAAGTCAGCCCGTATGAGTTGGTGAACTGTACAAATGGGTGCATAATGCCAGCTGGATATTGAACTTGGTAGAGTCAAGTCAATGGAGTAATTATTTGGTGATTCTAAGAATCTCTATCGTGAAGGGAGCTGGAGTTATAATCATTGTATTAGGGAAAACAGGATCACAGAGATGCCGGAAGTATGCTCACACTGCCTGAGACAGAGACGGGATGGGGACGCTCAGTGCCTGATTCTGAGGCTGACACAAGATTCCACCCACTCTCCTTCCATGTAAACATCTCTGGGGTCGTGATAAGTATCCAAAGCAAAGTTAATATCCACTTGAGCTTTTTTGAAAATTTTCACATAAAAATTTGGCTTTTATTTTAGAAATTCATTTAGTATTTTATATCTTTATCTCATTTTTATTATTTGTTTTTGTTTTTCCAATTGAGCTTATGAAAACTGATGATTTCTAAAATGCTGTGCTGGGTCAGCCACAACAAATAGAAGTTTGTTCTTTTGCACAGTTCAGATTTCTAGTAGACTAGGTCTCCTACACATATTTGGAAGACAACATCCCACACTGTGTTCAGTTTGAAACCTAAAGATAAAAGATTTATGCATGTTTTAAGGACTTATCCAGATCTACCAAGGTCTACCATTAAAGGAAAATCATGAAAAAAATCAATTCAATTCAGATGATGTAATAATGTAAAAAGTGCAATTAACAATATTCAATAATGTAGAAATTATAAAAATATATGTCTGAAAAAAATTTTCTCTACTTTCATTTACAACCAAAGTAGAACTACTGAAATACTTATATGGAAATTGTGCATTATTATACCAAAGTGCTTACGATATAGGCAGGGAGATGCATATTTCCCCTTTCTGTTATTGGAGTACTGTATAATTCATGATTATTCAGCACATACTAATTGATAAGATTTATTTATAGTATTATTTATTCTATATTAATCTTATTTCTTTGAGGCTTTTAGGTATCAGATTTATGTTCACCTTCATGGCTACTATTTTCATTTATTAAACACTATCATCCTTCACTCAAATATTTATTAATTTTATATCCTTATTCACTCTGGTATTGAATATGATCCTATTTGCAAATTTTATTTAGGCATTGGTAATATGGATTAGAAGCCAGGTGGCTCAGATGGTTGGAGTATCATCCCGTACTCCAAAAAGGTTGCAGATTCAATCCCAGGTTAGGGTGTGTACAGGAAACAACCCATCGGTGTTTTCCTCTTACATTGATGTTTCTGTCCGTCTGTCTCTCTCTTCCCCTACCTCTCTATCTAAAGTCAGTAAAAACATATCACCCGGTGAAGATTAAAATAAATAAATAAAAATACGCTCTATTATTTATGCATAATCTATGCATGCTTACTAGAATCACTTCATGCTTAATCAGAGACAGAAGCATGATAACCACACTAACAAAGATATGGAAAGGCAAAGAAATGAAATTAAGGTATTTGCTACTTTTGTTTTATTTCTATCTCTGTCATGGAAGAATCAGCCCAGAGCAGGAAGTTTCTGATCATCTTACTGTCCCAGTTGTTTTTCTTAATTTGGGAGTTTGGGAGAAGATTAGAAAGATCTACTGTTTGTGATATGCTAAGATTTATTCAGATAGCGTCAATGTATTCACCCAATGTTGTGATTATCCTAGTAGCTGACTACCCTTTTGGATTGGAGCTGTACTAAGGAGTCAACACATTTTGAAAATTAAAATGAACTTTCTATCACTTAAGGCTTAATAAGCTTAAAACAGCAAGCCTGATGGTCTGTTTGGGGGCCATTGCTGATATTAATTGAATAGAGTCATTCAGTATCAACATCTAGGATAATAGGATTTAAAGAGCCTATGAAGACTTAATAGAAAAGAAAACGTGTAGAAGGGGTTCCCCAAACCTCTACAAGTTCCAAATGTTGACTTGAAAAATCAGCAGCAAACAGTATGCTCAAATTTTCAGTAGAAAGATTAGATGTTGAAGGAATGTCTGACACTACTTGCTTATGTGGTGACAAAACAAAGGACAGAATCCTTTAGTCTTACTTTCTCTTTAAATTATCTTCTATTTTGAGTAAAATTACCTGGGTACAGCTCTGAAATCCTTTTCCCACCTCTCTCCCATCCCTTTTTGCCGTCTATTTGCCACTGTAGGTTTCAAGGATGAGAAGGGAAAGTGAGGGAGCGAAGGGATGGGGTTAGGGGGCCTGTTTAAGGGTGGAGGTGTTGAAGGACTATTTCTGTTCTTTTCTTCCCCTTCTGGAACCAACATCTAAACTATTGTTTTAAAAAAATCAGAAGATGAAGCTTGAACTTTAGCAAATTGTAAGAAAATAAAGAACAGGAATTTGGCAACCCCAGAAATAGACATTCAGCCCTATATCTTTGTCTCACTTATTTAGAAGGTAGTCTTCTCAACTGTTGCCTAGGACTCCTAGGAGTGTGGACTGAAACCTTAATAAATTTCCATGAAGGTGGAAAAAAATGTCTAGTTGGTTCATCACGCATGCATTCATTCCTTCATTTAACAAATAGTCATCAAGCATTTACTGCATGCCAAGTGTCGTGTTAGATGCTGGGCATTCGTTTTGAAATAGATAGATATACATTTTTGAAACACTCTGGCATGGTGTGGACAATGGTTTACAGAAGGACAAGAGGCTGAGCAAAGCCTGTTGTAGTCTCAGCAAGAAGTGGTGGTGGTTTGGCCTGGGCGGATGGTGATCACTATCGCAAGGAGGGGAGCCGGGAAAGCTCAGACGGAGGTCTGCCAATCAAGAGTTCCGTTCTGAGCACAATGAGTGTGAACTGCCTGAGAGACATGCAAATGGATATATCGGAGTGGCAATCAATGTGTACAACTGGAGCTCAAGGGACAGGTCTTAACACAGTAGATATTCATTCCTATTGGTGTGTTTAATTATTGTAAGAAAAAAATGGGCTCAGTATTTCAGTGGTCCAGAAAGATAATCATAGACGACATAACCCTTTAAACCTCTATGTCTGTTGATCTGTTAACCTTCTTTTTTATCCTTGATTCCTTCTAAGACCAGAGAGATTTTTAGTAACATTCGAGTGAATTATTTTTCCATGTGATATCCTCTGGATGTTGATTTCACAGGTATGTCTAACATTTCCACCGATGTGCTGTAGCTCTTCAGTCCCTATATGTACTGAATTCCAAATGCATGCCAAACAACATGTGAGGTGCATATCTTTGACTCGTGTTAACATTTCTAGGGACTGGAGCTTAAAATAAAAAGAAAACAACCGAAGAATAAGAAAAACTCCCATGTATAAAATGGATTATTGCTTCCGTGTTTCTTTATTGCTATGTCTTAAATATTTATTACTGTGGGCTGAGAAACAGAATATCCTACAATAAGTTTGCCTCTGGACAAGGTTTTCTATTCGGGCAATCAAATACTGTGTATTCAAGGTCCTTGCCATTCTGGAACGATGTTAGAGAATAGACAGAGTAGATAAGGTATAAAACCTCTCCTCTTGGGTTCAACAGAAAACAGCAAAAATGGAGCTACAGTGTAAATCATGTAACTCAGGTGTGTAACTAACAAAATAAGCTTTTCCATTGCCTGTGATTTTTTTTTATTAATTATACAAACAATTTTATATGACATATTCATTATAAAATTAAAATGTCTAAGCAAAGTTTTTTTTTAATGAATTCATTATCATGTCCCTCACTCATGTTACCTGTTTTGCAGAGGTAACCAGTGCTAAGAGTTTAGTGAGTTTTTCTTCAACCTTCTTACCTACATCTATGTATGTCTTTACTTTTTCAACATAAGTTAGATTATGCTTACTTTTGCTTTTTTCACTTGACAGAATATCTTAGACATTGAGCAATGTCATTTTTTTGATGTGGCACAATATCCCACAGTATAAATGTACCATAATTTATTTATCAGTGTGTAATTAAGTTGCTTCCAATTTTTTATTGTCATAAAAATGCTTTGGTGAGTATTCTTATAACAAATGTCTTTGTACTCATGTAAATATGTAGGATCAAGTCCTAAAAATTGAACTCTTATGGTAAAAATTATGCATAATAAAACTTTTAGTTGGCAACTGCCAAATTATAGATCTTTGTACAGCACAACACCTATTACAACAGATTATAGGGGGCCGCTCAAACCATGAATCCATAGCTACACAGCAGGGATTCTCAAAGAGTGGTCCCTAGATTAACAGAATCAGTATCACCTGGGAACTTACTAGAAATGCAATTTCTTGTGTCCCATTCCTGATACACTATAGGAGATAGAGGGATAGATAGAGGAAGAGATTTATGTTAAAGAATTGGCTCACGTGATTATAGAGGCTGACAAGTCCCAGCAAGCTAGAGACCCAGAAGAGCCATTGGGTGGTCCCTGTGTGAAAACTGGCGGGCTCAAGACTTAGGAAGAGCTGATGTTTCATTTCCTATCTGAAGGCAGAAGAAAACTGACTTCCCAGCTAGTATGCAGTCAGGCAGAAGAAATTCTCCTGCTCAGACTTTGTTCTATTCAGGCCTCAGTTGATTGGGTGAGGGCCATCCACATTAGGGAGGGCCATCTGCTTTATTCCGTCTACTTGTTCATCGTTAACCTCATTCAGAAACACCCTCACAGACACACCCAGAATAGTGTGTGACACTCTCAGAATATCTGGGCACCTCGGTGCAATCAAGCTGACACATAAAATTAACCATCATATATACTGAATCAGAACTCTGGGTAGGAATCAGCAACCTTTTCTAACACTCCACTAGTGATCCTGATGTACACCAGAGTCTGGGAACCCTGCTCTAGAGTGAGTGGCTTTCTGACTGCTCAGATTTGTGCTTGGAGTCATGGGAAAATGCCTTTTGAGAACCTGGTTGGATTAGTAGTTGATCCTGATAAATAATAGCCATCTCATTTGCTAGCTAGTTTAGAGAAAAGGCATTGTCATCAGGAACTGAGAAGAAGATGGATTCTGTTTCTTCCCTACTCTATAGCTTTATAAAGATCAGCTTGAGAACCTACAGATACCTTCTCTGAAGGGCTCTCCTGCTTGATGATTTCAGATCCTCAGTCTTCAGTGAACATGGACCTGTATCGTGGAGCTGAGCGAGTGAGCAGGGCCTTCTCTGCCCTTGTGGATCAAATCACCTTGCCCAACTTGAAGTGAAAAGCATTCCAGTCTCAAAGGCTCCTTGGATTGATGACAAAATGTTATTTTCAAAATCTGTACTGAAAGAATTAAGTCTCCTGTAAAGCATGAAGAAAGTTTTATTTTTCAACTTCATTACCCATGTGTCTTTGTCTTAGTTCTTAAAAGTAAAGCCTTTGGGCCTTGGCTGGTTTGACTCAGTGGTTAGAGCATTGGCCTACAGACCAAATAGTTACGGGTTCAATTCCCAGTCAAGGGCACATACCTGGGTTGTAGATTCGGATGTGGAGGCAACTGATTCTCTCTCTCTCTCTCTCTCTCTCTCTCCCCCCCCCTTTACTCCCCCCCTTTCACGCTATCTAAAAATCAATGGAAAAGTATCCTCAGGTGAGGATTTAAAAAAAATTTTTTTTTTTTAAGAAAAGCCTTTGGGAGTGAGGAGTGGTCAAGGGAAATGGAAAGAAGAGGCTGAGTTTCCAGTAGAGGGCCATTCTTACTTTAAAAATGTTGGAAGTAATATTCAAGTGTGTGATCTACATGAATTCGTGCAACTGTCTTTTCTAATATCATTGAAATTACTGAATTGATAACTATTTTCTATCTGGTTGCTCTTGCTAGAGAATAAGCTTACAGGAAACTAAACATGCACACACAGACAACTGAGTGCACTCATAACTGGTGAAATCTGAATAAACTGGTGTGGACCAATTTCCTGATTGTATATTATATTTTAGTTACGCAAGATGTTGTCATTGAGGGAAACCAAATGCAATGTATATAGGATATCTCTGTATCATAAATCAACAATTATCTCAAATTTATCTTTAAAGCATGAATATTTTTCACTAACACCTCAATTCCAATGAGTTTGCCCAAAGTTCCTGTGTGCTCCCTTTCTCCGTATGTATAATTAGGATGTAGATGCTTAACTTAATAACGTCCACAGTACTGACTAACATTTTTGACTATTAGAGCACTTTGGGTCTAAGCACCTTGCATGTACTAACTCATTCAATCCTTACAACAAATCTAGCAAGTGGATATTTTATAAGAAAACTGAGGCACAAAGAGAGTCAGCAACTTGTCAGACAAGCTCCTGAGCCCATCCTCCAACCACTGCTCTGTACTTTCTTGCAGTAAATACTGTCATGATTTCATTGTGTTACCTATTACCTTAATGTGTAGTTCATGCTACATTTAGCAAGGCTGTGAGTTTTTATTTATATGATCTATAATTTCTAGCACTGTTTCCAGAGTGAAGTGATGTCCAATTGGGTAGAATGAGGACTAGGTCATCCCTATTCAATCTCATCCTAATATTTTTTAATTTGCTTTTCAGATTATCACAAAATTTTTATTTTAGTTTTGTTGCTCAGTGCACTCATTCCTTCTTCCTTCATCCCAACTTGTTCCTTACAGGTTTGGTAGGCACACCCCAGAGCACCGGTCAGCAAGCTACAGCCATGGGCCACGTCCTGCCCACTGCCGGTTTGTACAGGCTAGGAGCTAAGAGTGGTGAATACATTTTTTTAAATAAAAAAAAACTCATGAACAATAATTATTTTCTGACTCTTGAAAATGATATGGATTCAAATTCCAGGATCCATAAACAAGGTTTTATTGGAACATAGTCATGCTCACTTATGTTTGCGTTGTTTCCACCTGAGTTCATTCTACATGGCAGATGATGTGTTGCCTCACAGACCGGAGAGCCCACAAAGCACAGAATATTTGCTACCTGACCCTTCTGCAAAGCTGGCAGCCCTGCTTCGTAGACCAGGGTGAGACAGGAATGAGAGGCTGGCATTGCAAACTTTGTCTGAGAGCGGCATCTTTTCCACAATGTATAAGTGGTAATGAGTTGATGTGATGTTTTTAAAGAATTGATTAAAGACAGTAAGAGAAAGTAGCATGGAAGCAAAACCATGAGCCCACGTTGAAACGGTAGCTGATGAGTGGCAGCCTCTGGGGTGCTCATTCTCCTAACCAAAAGGAGCTGGGGCTGGGCCCCTCCCACTGCTCCCCCAGACTTGCTTCCCCCATGTAGGGCTTAGCTAATCCTCAGATGCAGCAGAGTCTTCAAATAATAACCCTTTAGGTAAGAATTTTAGCTTATGGAGGGCCCTAAACCTTCAGTGCAAACATTTACTAAAGTTTCCTTTGGACCTGGGAAAAGCAAGGGGATTGCTGAGATATTTGAAATTCAAACTACTTGTCAATCATCAGTTATAACAGAATAATTGGAGAAATTAGAGTAATTATATCAGATAAAAAAAAAAAAAGCAATGTGTTTGGAACTCAAATACATTTGCTAATTGGACTGCTCTGCTATGAACCTCGTTCAGACCTGGTCATTTTAAGGGGAAAACTTCATGGGTAATTTTCTTATAAAGCTGTTCATTTTACGTTTAGCTTGCTTTTCCATGCAAAGCCTGATCAATTATAAAGTTCTAATAGTTAATCAGACAGAAAATATACTTATTTGGAAATAACAAACTTAATGCTATTTTATTTGAGATTTGATTATTATTAATGGTAACATTAAATATTGGAATAAAGAGACTTCAACAATAATACCTGGGGTCCAGAGCTTTTTATTAATTTTGTTTTCATTAGAAGAATTTTTTATTCGCACGCATGTGTGTGTGTGTGTGTGTGTGTGTGTGTGAGTGTGTGTGTTTGCTTTGTTTTTTGCTTCATTCAGTTCAAAATATTCAAAAATATTATTTTAAACAAGATTTGGACATCACAGATCATCAGTAACTGGTAATTAATAAATATAATCCTTCATATGCCTGTGCATAAGCAATCAATGGTTAATGGCTTGGAAGTCATGCAATGTATTCAAGTTAAATGTATAACACTTTAGTTCATTAACAATGTCATCCATCCCAAAACATGATCAAAAGGAATACAAAGAATCTGAGCATGCCTCCACTGCTACTCATCTTTGAAAGCTCTTTGAACTCTTTCAGACTGTGGGATGGTCTGGCAGTAATGTCACCATTCGAAGGAACACGCTAGCAGCCTGACAAGGAAACTAAGTCCTCTGAATGTGGCTTAATATTTATCTCTGGACATTCCCACCATTTCAAGTAAGTAAATGATCAATAGTCAAGAAAAATATATTATTTTTAAATTCCAAGATTTGAGTTAGCTCTGAAGGTAGATTTATTTTCTCTTTATTTCCAGACCACTGCTTGCTTTTCCAATGAACTTAGACCCGCTCCTGCGCATCTGCAGGCTTAGCAAATCAATCAACTCTTTCTTCTTCAGGGAGGAGATTCTTAGTTGCTGGAAATATGCACCTGAAAGTAGAGAAAAGGAACAAATCATAAGTCACTAAATTTTTTGCAGGTTAATTAAATATCAATATATTGGTGTTTAAAGGAAAGTTTGCTGTTTCTGCCACTCTACTATCAAAATTCTGTATAAATTTACTGCAGGGGTGTACATGTAAATCTGTACTTATGCAAAGTTTTGTATCCTATGCACTTTAGCTATATAATATAAATTAAGTAAATTATAATAAATACATTTCCTTATTAATATGTATTAAGATATGTTTCTGACTTTAAAATAAAAATGGTCCTTATATAATTTTTAATATAAAAATATGAAGGAAAAAAAGCTTTAAACCCCCCTTAATCAAATCTTCGGAAAATACCGTAGTTTTATGCATACACACTTTATACCATAATTTAGTTTACCATTACCCTATTATGGGACTTTTAGACTATGTTCACCTTTTCTGTTACTATAAGTAATACTGCAGTGAAGAAGCTCATACTGTATCATTGGTTACTGTATCTCTGAATGTCCCCTGAGAATAGAGTTCTAAACAAGTATTTTCTAAATATGTTCCTTAGGAAATTTCTTAGAGTAAAGTGAAAAATGAAGCATTTGTGAATCTACTTATTTATATATCTGAAACATTGTTTTCTCTTCTGGTTAGTGTTTAAAAAGAAGCAATATGAACATTTGCCAGCCAGACACCAACTGCAAACATCATCAAATTTTAAATTTAAATTTTAACTTTCTGGTCATGGAGGAAAACAAAGACTTGCGGTTTTTTACAAACATGCAAACTCCCAAGGCAGGCAGGCTGCCTCTCTCAGGGGCACGGCAAGATTCGTTAAAGGAAGAGGCTCTCGCCCTGGCCGGTTTGGCTCAGCGGTTAAAGCGTCGGCCTGCGGTCCTGAGAGACCCGGGTTTGGTTCCCGCTAAGGGCATGTACCTCGGTTGCAGTTTGTCCCTGGCCCTGGTCGGTCGTGCGGGTGGCAGCCACTCGATGTGTTCCTTTCGCATCGATGTTTCTCTCTCTCTCTCTGTTCCTCTCTCTCCCTCCCACTGTACCTGAACAAAAAATGGAAAAATGTCCTCGGGTGAGGATAAAAAAAAAAAAAAAAAAAAAAAAAAGGAAGAGGCTCTCATTTTGACACAAACAAGGATATACTTTAAAATCCCTTTATTTGCATTGAAGCATTTATTAATCTATGAGTTAATCTCAACTCTGTTATTTTCTATTTGGAAGTAATCAGCCTACTCTTTCCCTAAACCAATTAATATACTTCTTTCCCTGTCCTTCCTCCTCCCCCTTTCCCTCTCTGCCTTCATGTAATTCATCATAATTTAGTGGTTAAGCCTTGGTACACCATCCTCACACCTTCCAGATACTTCAGCATTCAATTACTGGCTTATATCTTTCCAGACTAAATAACAATGATCTTTTGAGTTTTTCTCAAATGCTATCTCTAGCCCTCAGATGTTTTGGAATTCTCATGTCATTTCTGGACTTCCTCTGTTTCTGACCAAGGTGTCCAGGCCATTCATCACCCAGGTTAGTAAGCTGTCCATGGGTTAAAGTTCTTCCAGAGTCTTTCCAGAATTAAACACACACGTTTTGTACATTTCTTTTTATAGACTCACAGAACATTAGAACAGAGAACCTGCAGAGACTTTAGGGGTTATCTAATTCTTTCCATACCCCTCCTTTTCAGAAGAAGAAACAGAGGGCTAAATAAGTTAATTAACTTGCCCAATTACATAGCTATTTTATATCTATTGTTTTTATGTTTGTTGATCTAATATTAACAAATATGATATATTAACATACACAATTATATAGAAGTTTTATGTTTTTAACAAAGCATGATTTAAAGCAACATTTCTCAACTGTATTTAAACTATTTTATTCAAAGTAACAAGAACCTTTTGCATATTGTACAGGCACTGACTTCAGTTCTTTCTTTCTGTTCTGATGATGTGATTTCCCTGAGTACAACAGAGACTAACACCTCTCCACTCTCACCCCTATCCCCACCTGGTAGCAAAAAAAAAATATAGTGCAGAATTTGTGTAGGTACATCCAGGGCCAGTTGAGCCACTAGAGGTTTAATCAAGCCTCTTGAGATGAAATCTCGATGTTCCTGCCATGATTTAACTTCTAGATATGGTGTCTTCTTGACCCAAGACGTTCTTTGACTATAATTATACAAACCAAATGGAAAGTCTTGTTTCCTGATCTGCAAACGAATGCTTATGTCAAATGTTAAAATAACTTCAATAAAGTGAAATGTTCACCTTGCTACTTGCATAGCAACTCCAGCTAAAGTTTGCAGACTGGCTGGGTCAATAGCAACTCTGTAGCAAAATGAAGAAAGTGGCTTCCAAAGCTGAAGTTAAAAGAAGATGGAAATGCCATGTTGAAATATGCTAAAAAAAAAAATAGTCTCAAACTGTTCTGATAGACTTGTTGCAAACAAGCAAACTGTAAGCTGTTTCAGAGAAAGTGTGTGTGTGTGTGTGTGTGTGTGTGTGTGTGTGTGTATTTTATGTTCAGTTGAACACAAATATTATTTTCACTTATTCTATAGAAACTTGAGTAATTCAAAGTGAGTGTAAATATACACACACACACACACAAAAGATTTGAGTATGACAGCTAAATATGATAGGAATGGAAGATAGAACCCTACAGTGCAGATGAGGAAAGTATTCAGTCTTTACTGACGCTGATATCATGGCAACCTCTGTTCCAAATATTTTTAAAATATTGCTAACCAACATTTAAAGACACTCATTTTGTGTTTCCACTTTAGTAGCTAAGTTACTGAAAGAATATTTCCTCTAAAGGAGAAAATTGGTTTAATTACAATAACACTTGCTAAAACAATAAATTTGTTTATAAATAATATCAGTGGATTATCTGTTTTTATGGATCAGCAAATCATGAGGACTTTAAGTTACTAAGGTTAAAACAAACTACATATATACAGGCTCTACAATATCTTGAGTTGATTACTATTTTAATAGATTATGTAAGTATATAAGAATTTTCATAATAAAATGTACACATGCAAAAATTAGCTATGCTTTAGTATTCCACTTGTGTATAAATAATTCTAAGAGTCACTATCACTTAAACAGCCCTTGCTGCAAGCATTGGAAGCTCATTTGTTGAAATAGCATCAAGACAGGAACAAAAACAATATGCATAAGGCTAAGGTATCTCTCAACTTACAGACTAATTCTCCCCCATTCTGATTCTATAAAAGATATTTCTTCTAGTGCCCCCAGAGAAGACTGTATTTTAATATAATACTTAAGTGAAAACCTCTAAATTTGTAGGAAGTTCCAAATTATTATATATTAATTATTCAGCTTGCTGGAAATTAATTACTTGAGATTTGTTTTAAAAAGCAATGAAGAGAACACTCAGAAAGAGAAACTAAAAACAATTTCATTTACCATTGCAACAACAACAAAAAATACCTAGGAATAAACTTAACCAGGGAGGTAGAAGACCTGTTCTCAGAAAACTACAAAACATTGAAAAAATAAAAAATAAATAGAGAACAATATAAAAAAGTGGAAACATATACCATGTTCATGGATTGGAAAAATCAACATCATTATAATGCCCATACTACTCAAATAATCTATAGATTCAATGCAATCCCTATTAAAGTACCAATGGCATATTTCACAGATCTAGAACAAATACTCCAACAGTTTATATGGAATCATAAAAGACCCTGAATAGCCACAGCAATCTTGAAAAAGAAGAACAAAGTGGGAGGGATCACAATACCAGATATCAAGTTATACTACAAAGGCATCATAATCAAAACAGCCTGGCACTGGCACAAGAACAGGCATATAGATCAGTGGAACAGAACAGAGAACCCAGAAATCGACCCAAGACAGTGCACACAACTAATATTTCACAAAGGAGAAAAGAGCATACAATGGAGAAAAAATAGTCTCTTCAATAAATGGTGTTGGAAAAATTGGACAGCTACATGCAAAAGAATGAAACTAGACCACCAACTTACACCATACACAAGAATAAACTCAAATGGATAAAATACTTAAATGTAACTCATGAACTCATAAAAATCCTAGAAGAAAAATGTAGACAGAAAAATTAGACATCATACGTAGTGAAATTTTCACTATACATTGCCTAAGGCAAGAAAAACAAAGGAAAAGTTAATACATGGGACTACATCAAACTAAAAAGCTTCTGCATTGCAAAAGAAACCAGCATCAAAATGAGAAGGGAACCCATTGTACAAAGAACATATTTTCCAATGATACATTGGATAAAAGTTAATATTCAAAATATATAGAGTACTCATACATTTCAGCAAAAGGAAGCAAACAATCCAATTAAAAATAGGCAGAGGACCTGAATAAACACTTCTCCAAATAGGACATACAGATAGATGGCTAGGAGACATATGAAAAAAATGCTCAATATCTCTAATCATCAGAGAGACTCAAATTAAAACAACAATGAGATATTACCTCCCGCCTGCCAGAATGGCAGCCATCAACAAATCCTCAAACAACAGTGCTGGTGAAGATGTGGAGAAGAGGATACTCTAGCACACTGCTGGGGGAAATGCAGACTGGTGTAGCCACTATGGAAAATAGCAGGGTGTCTCCTCAAAAATTAAAAATGCTATTGCCATTTGACCCAGTGATCCCACTTCTTGGAATATATCCTAAGAAGCCTGAAACACCGATCAGAAAGAATACATGTGGCACTATTTACAATAGCTAAGATCTGGAAATAGCCCAAGTGCCCATCAGTAGATAAGTGGATTAAAAACTGTGGTACATTTACACAATGGAATACTATGCAGCTGTAATAAAGAAAGGTCTCTTACCCTTTGAGACGACATGGAGGGACCTGGAGAATATTATGCTGAGTGAAATAAGTCAGTCAGACAAAGACCAGTACCACAGGGAACATCATGAACAAAATAAGCTGTCAACCAAAATAGATTCAGAGTCATAGAAGTAGGGAAAAGACTAACAAACCTCAGAGGGATGGGAAGAGATCAACCAAAGAACTTATATGCATATATGCACAACCAAGGGACACGGCCATTAAGTTGGGGAAAGCAAGAGGAGGGTGGGAGTGGGAAGGGGGGGGTCAATGGGGAAAAAAGGGGGACATCTGTAATACTTTCAACAATAAAAAAAATAAAATAAATAAAAAATTTAAAAAGCAATGAAGGGTAACTTTACAAGCCAGCCATTTTTTTCTACCACTTACTTCATCAGCTAAATACACCTCAAGGAGCCCTTCCATTTACATAAAAGCAATGTGTATGTTTGTTTTTAATTTAAAATTGGCAACAGTTTATGTGTTTTGAATATTCCCCAGGTTTATATTCAAATCTTCCCAATTCCATAGCAAGTAAGCACAGGTTGTGAACCAATGTTGAGGCTACTAGTAAAAAATTTGTGTTAACTTTGTGATATCCCTTTATAATTTTATGTTGTATTTTGGGACTCATTCTTTTCCCTTATTTGTCTTTTGACTTTTCCTTGCTGCTGTTCACATGAAGTATAAGGATAAGAATAATAAGTTAAGATAAACAGCTACTATGTAATACAAGAGGAAGTACTATCTATCTTCCTATCACTTGTGTGCTTTTAGGATTCACCCCTGAGAGAATATGTGTGGCAATAGATTCTTCTAAAGCCATTTCCCTCTTTTTCACAGTTCAGCACATCCATATTTGATTGACCCTTTCCAGACTTGGGACCTGGGGTTGACCACCTTGTTTTCTCCCTGTGTGCTCTGGATGCAAGGCTGAGATCTTCTCTTCCTCTCCAGCCAGCTGTCTCCTTCCTAAGCCATGGTTCCTAGAGAGGATGCAGTCCACATAGATGTCCCAGAATAGTTGGGCCAGATCCCAAAACAGTGCCCCATGCTTTAAGTTCTCAGATGACTTCAGGTAGATCATAAAATCCCAGAAACCTGACACAGTGTTGGAAATTCGAGGCTTCCGCATTTCGAGGAGGAGCATTGAGGAAGACTCCCAGCACTGGGGATCAGCTTGGTTAAGAGCCAGCAGGTCTGTCTGGCTGTGGCAGAAGAGAGGAGTCACACAGCACATTCCCACAATGAGGAGGGAGCAGGTGAGGTTCAAGGGGCGGTAGATCCCTCCTCTCTTTCCAGGATCAGCCATGGCCCTGAAAATGCACATGATGAAAATATCTCACATGAGTTCCTGCTCGTGCTCCATTCAGTAAAGAAAATAGTTATGCCTTTAAGAACCTTGGTCCTAGCAAAGGAGACACATCATCATCTCTACGAAAAGCCTTATCCTTCCTCCAATATAACAAGGCCCATTCTATCTAAAATGATTCATTGTCCCACCAGGTAGTGTAAAACCAAGATATACAGACTAAGAAATATGTATTCCTGGGATGTATTCCTTTAAGATGAAAGAGTGAACATGTTTTTTCCTAGTACAGGAATATAGTTTTAAAGAGTATTAAGTGACAATTTTAAAATCTTGTTGCATGGCTTTCATTATTCTATAATATCATAATTTAACTTAGCTATCCTAATCAAGGACTCCATGTAATTAAGAATTTTAATATATCTCACCCTTGGATGCTTTCCTATTCAGGGTGATTTTAATTTATTTAAAGGCATAAGAATTATAAAATACTATAAGTAAAAATAAACACAAGAAAGTGTTCTAAAAAGTATGTGAACAAAGGGACATATATTTAACCCCTTACAGTAGACTAAATAGACATTTTACTAATACATAAAATATTCCCCAATTCTGATATAACTTTCACAGAGACAATGGTTTCTCATTTCTTTCTTCTTTCTCTAAATCTCAAGAATTTTAACAAAAATAATCTGCCTCATTCAACTTTTATGGCTATCAAAGCTTGTTTCAATAAAATCAAGGCATTCATATACCACTTTGAAATTATATTACTCTTCTGACAAGTGCATTGAGAAATGATGTCCTTAAAATAATAATAACCTCATTTTTTCCCAGAAAACAAGGTTGTCTGACTAGTCACAGACTATACATCTATATTGAAACATTTAATGATAACACCATAATATGGAGTTCTTTCCTTCTGTACAACAGCAGAATGTATTGAGACATCCTTAAATAGATATTTCACAAACTGTCTTGGAATATTTATGTTCCTGTTTTGAAGAGATATGTTGCAATACAAGATTATTCAAAACTTTTCACTCTATATTTCAGATCATTTACACAATATTTCTACCTAAACAAGATTATATTTAATATGTCCTCTTCGGAACTAAACTATCAAAGTCGAGGGGTCCCAAAGGTGCTTTTTCTTAGGGGACAAGGCCAAGATGTCAGTGCTAAGTTTAAAATAGAGGGCGGGACGCTGTCCAGCGTGCTGAAGTTCGCCCTGTCCGGGTCTCCCCGTCTGCGAGGGCCTCAGCGCTCACACTGGCTTCTTTGGGTCCCGGAGTCCTCCCAGAGCCTGGAAGTTCCTCAGCCCTGGGGTCCTCCGTCCGCCCCCGCTACAAGTCCCGCGCGGAGCTCGGTGCGTCTCGCCCCCCACGGCCTCATCATCCTCGGAGCAGAGCTGCCAGGGACCCTCTATGTGTCCTGTGTGCCCCACTAGCCTCCTTACTCCAAGCCTTTGCTCCCAGGTGGCAGAAGGACGTCCCTCCGCACTTACCTGCCCGGCCCTGTCCGGATTCCCGCGAGTGCGTGGAGAGAAAATTCTCAGGCTGCTCCCGGAGCGGAGCGAGTGAAGGTCCCCAGCCTCAGCTCCTGACGGCTAGTGCCCGCACCTCTTCAAGTCTACGTCAAAGCGCCGGGAAACTCGCCCCCAAGTCCATCTCCCACACCCTCTTTCCTCCCTCCTTTGAAGATCCCACTTCAGGAAATGAGGCTTAGCCACACACGCACACACCCTCCTTGACCGTGACCCACACCCATCCTCCACCCAGAGGAATTGAGCCTTTGTGTAGTTTGACGTTTCCGACTCACTCGGGAGACACGTCGCTGCGGGCAGGAACTGGAAAGTTGTGACCCAGCCCCCAACCGATCTAGGTACAAGAGGGATTCTCCAGATTGGCACTCTCCGGGCGTGCCTTGTTTGAGAATGAAGAAATGTGAAAGAAGACCCGGGAATCTTCAAGTCGGAGAAGGCAAATGGGAGCCCTCCCGGCGGCCAGTACGGGCTCCAAGGAATAAGGTCTTCCCTGAGACATCCTTGTGCGAATTTCTCCCGCTTGCCTGCGGTCCTGGGCTGAATGGAGTAAAACACCGCTGGGACCCAAATGTGGGTAGGGGCATGGAGCTGCTGGAAACCCCCTCCGCCTCCAACTTTTGACTGGGGAGAGGAGATTCCTTTATCTCTAGGTTCTGAGGTCTGCATCACCTCAGAACACGGGTTGTTGCTAGCATCTGGCATCACTTGTCAGCCCACCGCTCTGGATTCACAGTGGGGCCCCTGCTTTCCAAGAAGAGGAGGCTGGGATTGCCTTTGAGCCTGGACTCACAGCTAGTGAATACCTTAGCCGGAGCTAGAGTCCTGTCACCCCTTCGGTGTTCTGCTGACCATTAGCAGCCATCCTAACTGAAATATTCCCAGCCAGAGACCTAAGGCAAAAGTTTCACTCTTGCTAGTGTTTCCAGGTTTTGCTCCTTGCCTCCAAACCTTCTAAGCATCCGGAAAACCACTTGTAGTATCCATTTAACAACACTTTTATGCCCACTCAATAGTATCCATGGTTACCTTACAGAAGGCACACAGGGAGGAACCAGACTTATAACAAGGTTTCCTGAGAGAGGGAGACCCCACCCCTATTCAAGTGATAGGAAGACAGCTCTGGAGATGATTTTCAACGGGTTCTGGGCTTGTTCTCCTGCTCTGAGACTGGATGAAGTGTACTTTTGTTTCTCCATCTGTGATGTAGGCACACTGATGCCTGCTTTAAATTACATCCTGAGGATGTGGGGGGAAATCACAGATGAGGTCTTGGATTTGCTTCCTGAGCTTCAAGGTGCTCTCAGCCTCCTTAGAGAAACACAGTGTGTGTGTGCACAGAGACAGTGTGACATGGGAGAACTCCAGGAAAGTGAGAGGGAAAGGAGGGGACAGTGATGGTATCTTCGAGGAGGTGGCTGATGAACCTCTTGAAGAAGTTATACAGGTGTCCTGAGACCAAAGGAGGGGGGATTGTCTCCCCCAGGCAGAGTAGTCAGCATGAACAAACGCATGGAGGGCACATTCAAAAGAATGGTGTGTAGAGAGAGAAGGGAGAACAGAGGTAGAAGTATGGGATTTAATTCTGGTTTGGGATGTGTTGATAGTTACATTAACCTTGAAAATATTGGTATAAAATAAGCAGTGCTTACATTACTTTTAAGTGCCTATGTGCCAGGCACTATTCTAGATGTTGTGTATACAGAAGGAATAAAACAAGATGCCTAGTCCAGCTGCTGTGGCTCAGTGGTTGAGCATCGACCCATGCACCAAGAGGTCACTGGTTCGATTCCTGGTCAGGACACATGCCCAGGTTGTGAGCCCAATCCCCAGTGGGGGGCATGCAGGAGGTGGCCAATCGATGTTCTCACTCTTCGATGTTTCTATCTCTCTCTTCCTCTCACTTCCTCGATCTCTAAAATCAATAAAGAAAAAAATTTAAAAACAAAAGAACAAGGTGCCTATACTCATGGAGCTTACATTCTACTGGGGGTAGAGAAATAAAATGTATATTTTAATTTTAAAATTATATATATAATGATTTGTATTTCTAGTTTCTATATTGAACAGTGAGTTACAAACACATAACAAGGTAATCATGTAAGTAGTGACATGTCTGAGTCAATAATGAGAGTTTATCTATTATTCTGAAACCTTAGGGAAAATGTATGTGTTATGTGGCAAGTGTGATAAGAGAAAGCAAAGGATCATCAACAAAAAGTAAAGTTGGTTTAGAAAGGATGATGGAGAAGAGTTATTTTATGTGGAATACTGAGAAGCCTTTCCTAATGAAGAGATATTTGAGTAAAGACCTATTAAAGTGAGAAGAGTGAATCATGCGTATACATGTGAAAAATGCTCCAGGTGGGACCTGAGAGAAGCATGGAATAAGCATTTTTGTGAGAAGAGTGTTTTCCAGGTGTTATGGTAGGAGATGAGGTCAGAAAGGTGGTCAAAAATCCATCCTGGTTCCTCAGTAGAGAATAGACTGCAGGGGAGCAAGGACAGAGGCAGGAGTCCAGTGAGCAGCTGGTGCAACAATCCAGATGAGATACGATGGTAGATTAGACAGAGGCGTTAGCCATGGAGTCAGTGAAAGTGATCAGATTTTGAATGTATTTTGATGGTAGAAAAGACTAGATTTACTAATAGACTAGATGTAGGGTTCAAGAAAAGGAGAAATTGAAAATGTCTCCAAGTTTGGAAGGCTAAGCACCTGAAAGTTTGGAATTACCATATGCTAAGAAAGGAAAAATGTTTTGAGGAATCGTTTTGGGATAGGGAAATCAAGAATTTGACTTTCAAGATGTTAAGTCTGAGATGACTAACATCCACGTGGAGATGCTGAATAAGCTGGGAAAAGGTAGGAACTGAAGATAAGCACTTAGGATACAGTGTGCAGAAGTGAATTCTAGATTGGGGGTTAGATTTACCCATAGGTAATAGTTTAAAACCTCATGGAAAGTATGTAAAGTGGGTACAATTGTAGCCTGAGGATTGAAACTGAGAAATATTGCCCTGGCTCGTTTGGCTCAGCAGTTAGAGCATCGGCCCTCAGACTGAAGTGTCACAGGTCTGATTCCCAGTCAAGAGCACATGCTTGGGTTGCGGATTCGATCCTCAGCCCCAATTGGGGTCAGGCAGGAGATAACCAATGTCTCTCTCACATTTCACATCAATGTTTCTTTCTCTTTCTCTCTCCCTTCCCCCCTGACTCCCTCCCACTCTGTCTTGAAATCAATGGAAGAATGTCCTTGGATGAGGATTTACAAAAACAAACAAACAAAAAGAATGAAACAGAAATATCAACATTCACATGATAAGAAACCAGAAGAACTTGCTGCCTTGGAAGCAAATGAGATAGAGATTTTTAGAGGCAAGATATCAACCACATGAAACAGGTTCAGAAAAGGAGTCAGTAAAATGGAGACAAAAAAAATTTTGCCATTGGATCTAAAAA